AATGTAGCTGGAATTAAGAAATAAGTGCTACAAGTTAAAGTTTTTAAAACATGTTTAGCGCCATCTTTTTCAGTACAGAACCTGAGTTGGTTGGTTGCAATCAACTGACTTACATTAGTTCATATAGCTAACTAATAACAGAACCAGCTAAAAATCTCTTTTGTTGTAAACTGGTTGGATGTACTTGGGAAGAGAAAGATTATTTTACTGAATGAAAACCACTGATAGCATCGGCTGATTCTGACTCCAGCTAGTAGATCCAGTGAACCACCTGTCACCTGACTCAAACAGGTTCTCCTCCACACTGGTCTCATTTATGAAGTGCTTTAGAAACCCAAACATTACGGCTAACAGCTAGATTTCTCTGTGTCAGTGCAACTAGCTAAACAGCTAAGAGCCACTTACTGCTAAAGGTAATGAGACAACACCTACATACAATTTTTTTCAATGCACCTGTTGCTGATACAACAAATGCAAATTGTGCAATACATTCATGAAGTAAATTCCATGTATTAAAACAAATACTACAAAAATAAGACGTGTACATTAGCTCATGATTCTGGGCCAATTTGTTTTCTTTTGAATTTGTATATATGACACATGCATATAAAGTTTATAAATAATATTATAGTTCTGAATATCTGTTTATGCTGTAGCAATTACAATCTCATACTTTAATACATTCAAACACCTAAAATGTTAAACTCACCGTCCAAAAAACTTATTGTTAATTGATTAGCTTTTTAACATTTATTTAATAGATTTTTTTAATGACTCTGTGTTACTTCAGGATGTGGTGGTTACCTGTATGGCAGCAGTGGCAGTTTTTACAGCCCCAACTATCCAAACCCGTACCCAGACAATTCTGACTGTACATGGTACATCAGACCAGGCAGTCAGATTATTCAGCTGGAGCTGTCGGATGTAAAGTAAGCAAGTATTTTTCCATACCTAGGATGAGTGTGATCACTCTTTACCTTGGTTGTATTATGGTGACTTTTAATTCAAAGTTGTGTTCTTATTTTGTGTTAATCACAGCACTGAGTGTGGATATGATTATGTTTACGTCTATGATGGCTCCAGTACTGGAAGCCGGCTTCTGGGAAAGACATGTAACAACACCAAAAACAACACTTTCTATTCCACCGGTTATTATTTGACTGTGCGCTTCAGGAGTGATGGCAGTGTAAGAAACACAGGATTTCATGCTTCTTACAGAGTTGTGTGTAAGTCACACCTGTTATGATACCTTCATAAATAAAGTTAGGTACCATGCCTCCAGTTTATTTATGGATTTTATTGTCAGTGAAAGAAAACAAACAAGCAAAAAAGAAGTAAAAATCATAATCTTGAGATTTTAATTAATGGGAATTTTTTTGTCTTTTTTGTCTATCCTCCTTGAAGCTGGAGGTTCCTGCATTCACAACTGTGGTTACCAAGTTGGTAATTGCTCTTGCTCTTCGAGCTGTGTATACAGAGGGGACTGTTGTTATGACTACGAAGGTAAGCAATGCTGAAAAGTACCAAAACGCATTTATTCACGGCCTGTATTTAATGACAATTTGCGCAACTTGTACTTTATTTTGTGGAACGAGGTATACAAACTAAATACGATATATAATTCATGAATAAGAAAATATAGTACCCAAATATTTGAAAACAGCATGATCAGAGTATGTTTCTTTTCTTCTTTCCTGACCCAACGTGCCTGTTATGATACACACAAACATAAAAGAAACTAGATCTTAAAATCTTTATCCCACAGATCACTGCACGTCCACAACAGTAACAGATATACCAGAAACAGCAGCAACAACAGGTAAATAAAAAGAATTAAGTAAAGATGCTGTTAAAAAAAATTAGATTAAAAGCTATAAAGTAAATGTTGTCTTCCAGATCTGTACTCATGTCTTTACAACTGTGGCTCACACCTGGGAAGCTGTTCCTGTACTAGCTCTTGTGAATACTACGGCAACTGTTGTCATGACTACTACTGTAAGTATTCTGTCCTTCAAAGCTCAGCAGAAGGAGGCCCTACTCACTATGATCACACTTTCCAATGAAAATAATTTTTTCTTGCACTACAGGTGTGCTGCCACACTTCCAACAGTCTCATACTTACACAGCCTATTAAACAGTCACGCTTATTCAAAAACAAAGGGGTGGGGTGGGGGGAGCCAAAGATAAACTGTTGAGTTTTAATCTGTATGGTTTTCTCCTTTGTTTCAGCTTACTGCCCAAGCACAGGAGATCCAGTCACAGGTATAAAAGTCTGTTTGGGGAAACATTTTTAAAGCAGCAGCTCAGTAAAAGCCATCTCATAGATTTTTTAAAATACTGTATCTCTCTCTGTTTTCAAGATCAGCCATCATGTCGTTACAACTGTGGCACGCACCTGGGAAGCTGTTCATGCAGAAGCTCTTGTCAATACAATGGTGACTGTTGCTATGACTACTATGGTAAGTGGTGAGTCTTACAGATCAACGTTGTTAACAGTATCTGCAGCCATCTCTTGCAGGACCAAACAGTATGTCAGATTCCAGTGTAATGGTTTTCTGAAAATGACACATGATATTGGGACTTTGTGTTTAAAGAGACAATTTTCTTTGGCCTTCAGTGGGATATACTGTATGCATCTAGATTGTTTTGGTTGCTCAGTTTTGGAGATATGTCTGTCATGTTTAGAATATAATGAAACTCCCTTGTCATGCTAAGAAAGCCAAATAAATGAGTAATAAACATAGTTAAAAAAAAAGGAAAAGATCAGCCGTAATGTCTCTTTTCAGAAATTATGACCCATTATGCAATGCATGCACAAACCTTGTTATGAGAAGCTTTATCCACTGACCCATACCTGCGTGTGTCTGTGTGTGCATCCTGGTAGATCTGCTTTTCCTTCTGCAGAATGATATACTTGGTAGTTGCAATTTGGTAGGAGACAAACAAACAAACAAACAAAAAAACCAACAACAACCAACCGCTTACTTGTTTTTGCTCATGTGAACTTGGGTTGCAGTTGCAACAAGCTAATGCAAGATATTCCAGACATCCTTCTTCCCAACCTCAATTTCCAATTCCCCCTGGGGGATCCTGAATCCAGGCCTTATTAGAAATATAATCTTTGCAACACATTCCCTGGGGTCTCCTCCAAGTTCAGCGTGCCCAGAACACCTCTGAAGTTAGGCAACTAGGAGTGATCCAAACCAGATCAGAATCACCTCAACTGGCTCCTTTTGACATGTTGGGGAAAAGAAAGTCCCTGCATGAAACTGCTCAAAACAAGGTTTTATAAGTTTTCAAAAATATTTTAGTGCTTTACGCACCACAACACAATTACCATTTAGTTCCATTATATACTGTATAAGAGAAGGGAGACATCTGCACAGTGGACGTCTCCAAAACTGAACAATCCAGATAAATAAATGGCACTCCAGGCTGGAGGGAAAATTAGTGTTTGTAATTTTAAAGCTGCCCCCATCAGACTGCAAAGCAGCAATTTTTGTTATATTTTTGGGGGAGTGTGGGAATTGCATAATTCCAACATCCACAATAATCCCCAATTATTTAAATAATATGTTTTATTTAGAAAACCTCTTCTTCTTTCTGTCAAATAGATTACTGCTCATCAACCACTACGTGGCCTGACGTTACAGGTGCAAACCCTTACTTAATTTTAAAAAAATTAATAGTTCGATATTTAATGATTTGCCTGTAGTCTTATGTCCCCGTGTGTTTTCTAGCTCAGCCTTCGTGTCGATACAACTGTGGCTGGAGCATGGGAAGCTGCTCCTGCTCAAGCTCTTGTGAATACTATGGAAATTGCTGCAATGACTACTACTGTAAGTAAAGCTCAGGCGAGAATGTCACTGGCTGCAAATGGTGATCACAGTTCCTGCTCAACAGTATAGTGTATTGCTATAAAATTCACTGTATTCGCTGTATTATTTAAATCAACTTACGATGATGCCCATAAAATAAGTAAATTCAGACAGTAAGTAACTTGATCTAATGTTGTAATTATTTTCTTCACTTCTTCTAGATCACTGCCAGTCTCCTGACTTTACCACAGGTACGAAAACCTCAGTGACCTCGAGTAAAACCAGAAACTGTTAATGCCTCTGGCGAGAAAGCTTACTGTAATGATTTCTGTGTCCCTCAGCTCAACCCTCATGTCGATACAACTGTGGCAGTTACATGGGAAGCTGTTCCTGCTCAAGCTCATGTGAATACTATGGAAACTGTTGTTATGACTACCACTGTGGGTATCTCGTCAAGCAATCTCAACATACATTGATTGCAATATTACTTAAAAAGAAAGTATCTAAAACCTTCATTTCTCCCTTTAAACAGCCTACTGCTTAGTCTCAACTAGGGAGCCAACAGGTAGGGTTCTCGATGTGCAGAATTAGTCTGGAGCAGTTTTGGTCATTGCAGTGACACTTGTGCTATTTTATTAACATTCAACAGGGTCATGTGGAGGCAATCTGTTTGGCTCTGGCACCTTCTCTAGCCCTAACTATCCCAGCTACTATCATGACAATGCCTACTGCATGTGGCAACTAAGAGCTGCATACGACCAAAGAATCTTCCTGCAATTTACATTCCTACAGTAAGTAAATAGAAAAATGAGCAGCATTGTTATGTGAGGCACAGATGGATCAATCATGTGAAGACAGAAGTTACATGCAGATCTTCTTCTTTTTTTAAATCTAGATCTATGTTTCAACTTTTAAGCTAATTTCTAATTTATGGCTTTTATTGTGTTTTAAAAAAAAAAACACAGGCTGGAAAACTGCTGTTCCTGCGACTACATTGAAATCTATGATGGGCCGTATGTTTATTCACCATTTTTGGGCAAAGTCTGCAACAACAGTCTGAGCACTTTCTTCTCCACTTCCAACTATATGACTGTGGTCTTCCGGACTGACGGTTCTATGGTTGGTCGAGGTTTCAACGCCGAGTTCACGAGCTCTTTGACACCAAGCTCAGGTACGCTTATTAG